GTACTCTGTCACCTCCATCAGAGATATGACTGGTGACACGTATTTCATTGAGGTTTTGGTGACTAGTATGATATGTACTCTGTCAACTTTGTCAGAGATATGACTGGTGACACGTATTTCATTGAGGTTTTGGTGACTGGTATGATATGTACTCTGTCACCTTCATCAGAGATATGAGTGGTGCCCCGTATTTCATTGAGGTTTTGGTGACTAGTATGATATGTACTCTGTCAACTTTGTCAGAGATATGACTGGTGACACGTATCTCATTGAGGTTTTGGTGACTGGTATGATATGTCCTCTGTCTCCTTCATCAGAGACATGACTGGTGACACGTATTTCATTGAGGTTTTGGAGACTGGTATGATATGTACTCTGTCACCTTCATCAGAGATACGACTGGTGACACGTATTTCATTGAGGTTTTGGAGACTGGTATGATATGTACTCTGTCACCTTCATCAGAGATATGAGTGGTGCCCCGTATTTCATTGAGGTTTTGGTGACTAGTATGATATGTACTCTGTCAACTTTGTCAGAGATATGACTGGTGACACGTATTTCATCGAGGTTTTGGTGACTAGTATGATATGTACTCTGTCAACTTTGTCAGAGATATGACTGGTGACACGTATCTCATTGAGGTTTTGGTGACTGGTATGATATGTACTCTGTCACCTTCAACACAGAAATGAAAGTCTGACGAAAGTGACGGAATATATACCCTATGTCACACATCAACATGTATCTGGTTGTGCTAGGAACCTATATACAGCCTATACTTACCACCCCTAAAACATGTCCAGGAGTAAAGCATACAAGTTTTCACACAAACTCAAAAACAATCATAATTATTATTCCTTTCCACCAAATAATAACAATTATGAGAAAACCATGTTAATGAAGCTGGGAGACAATATATAATAATGATGCTATTATATTATATTTCAAATTATGATTTCTTCATTAAAATATTTTATAAAAAGATCTTCCTGTTTGAGTTTCACATCTCCTACCTTTGTATACATAGAACACACTGTTTACAGTCGAGTAAAGTTCACCTGCTGGTGTCAAATATAAACTTTATTCATTTTACAACAATTATGAAACAGGTTATTTCAACTCATATAAATCACTCTTCTTGGCCCAGGTGTTTGGGCACAGAAGGTCTTGATGTAAGAGGAAACCAGAGTACCCAGAGAAACCCCAAAATAACAGGTAGGTGACAGAGTACCAAGAGAAAACCCACATTAACAGGTAGGTGACAGAGTACCCAGATAAACCCCACATTAACAGGTAGGTGACAGAGTACCCAGAGAAACCCCAAAATAACAGGTAGGTGACAGAGTACCCAGAGAAACCCTACATTAACAGGTAGGTGACAGAGTACCCAGATAAACCCCACATTAACAGGTAGGTGACAGAGTACCCAGAGAAACCCCAAAATAACAGGTAGGTGACAGAGTACCCAGAGAAACCCACATTAACAGGTAGGTGACAGAGTACCCAGAGAAACCCCACATTAACAGGTAGGTGACAGAGTACCCAGAGAAACCCACATTAACAGGTAGGTGACAGAGTACCCAGAGAAACCCCACATTAACAGGTAGGTGACAGAGTACCCAGAGAAACCCACATTAACAGGTAGGTGACAGAGTACCCAGAGAAACCCCACATAATAACAGGTAGGTGACAGAGTACCCAGAGAAACCCCACATTAACAGGTAGGTGACACCACACCTTTATACCTACGATTCAGAAATTGAACCCCAGCCGCCTTGGTGAAGGTGATCATGAGCGTTACCCACTACGCCATCCGACCACCAATTATGCTCTACATTCCGTCATAAAACCAACATAAATATTTGTTTCCGATATGTGACTACAACATGGCGATTGTGACATCATCACAACTGGAGCCAGGACTACAGACAAATATTAACAATCTGAAAATACGTGACATTCAGTAACAATGGACAAATGTGCTGTTCTTGTCTTACTGCCGCTTGACAATGTCAAGTAATTTTTGATGCCAAAACACCGTGCTCAAACTCAGATTATGTGCTCAAGCCCAATATCTCCATGATGATTCAATAAAGAAACTATATTTTGTTAATAATATAGAAGAATTTTGGAGAGACTTACAGCCGAATACTGTTTTCAATGTTTACACGTGACTTTTCGACTGTGTTAAATGATTTAAGCTATTAACAAGAAAGTCGGCTTCAACACAGAACCCATGCTTGAGCATGAAAACGGTTTCATGAGTACGGGGCCCAGAGGAGAATGTAGACCAATGTTTAAGGCTACATATGATCACCTAGCCAGCCCCAATGATATTTCCAGCCTAATAAACTTTAAATCATTCAGAAAAACAATATTGCTAGGATTATCTACCAATAAAATGGGCCAGAATAAGGATTATCTACCAATAAAAGGGGCCGGAATAAGGATTATCTACCATTAAAAGGGGCCGGAATGAGCGATGTGTTGGAACAAGGACTCGTATTACAAGGTCACCTAAACAGCACTGTTTCCAGACCAGACAGGGCAGACAAGCAAAAATTGAAACATGAAACTGTTTCACCAGACCTGAACATTGAAGCAATAACTAAGGAGTTGATCAATAAAAAACAATATTTAATATAATTCTTACAAAGAATCATAGATACATTTTAAACAAACATTTAATGATATGAGGAAACAAACATTTAATGAGGAAACAAACATTTAATGATATGAGGAAACAAACATTTAATGATATGAGGAAACATCGATTTTTTCGGAAAATAAAACTATTGAACTACATTACTGACTAATATTAAATAATTATTAAACATTTGTGAAGTTATGTTGGATGATTATTTTACAGTAAGCTGGTCAGTGTGGGTTGGTTTGCTTTTTTTATTGTGTTTAATGTCCTATATACTTGCCAACTTTTTGAAACTTCCATGGGTGGGATTCTGCTTGCTCAGAATTATACACCCCGGTGGGCAAAATTTGCCCTTTTAAAGGCAGCTTTTTAGCTGTTCTTTCAGGTGAAATGATCGGATCTTAGAGACGAGGAATAGTTTAGCAAATTCTCTGGTTGAAAATGCTCAATTTCAGGGTCCAAAATCTGGAGTCTCACTCTAAAATAGGGAGAGTTGGCGAGTATAGTCCTATTAACAGATATGGTCATTTAAGGACGTGCTAGGTTTTGGTGGTGGAGGAACGCCGGAGAACCTGGAGAACAACCAGCGACCTGCAGTCAGTACCCGGTGACTGCCCACTTAACCCTGTAGTGGGAGGCTAGTGATTTAAAAAGCTGGACGCTTACATAACCACTCGGCCACCGCAACCCCTACACAGGTTGGACTCCCTTCATCAGAGGCAGCTTGTGTACCTCATTCACCCCTGAAGACACATTTGAACTCTTTAAATTCAAAAGATGGAAAAGTTCATTATGACATTTTAGGGGTGAATGAGTTATATAAATTAAGGGTCTGTATAAATAGGGTAAAATAACTAGGTACTGTAGATCTGGGGCAAGCTTTGACTAAATTATTGCACAATTGTGTCCGACTAATTGTTATATAAATATATATATATATGAATTGAAATAAGAGCTGTTCGATAATTACCTCTAGGAAGTTCCCACGTTATTTAAATACATTACATTTTTTTGCAAACACATTGTAAAAAATATATTTGCCTAATGTCAAGTTAGTGTCAAATTTTAAATTATTGATAAGTGAATATACTCGAAGTATCTTACAGATTTTGTTTGAACCCTGTGTTGAATTTGTCAGCTTGTTCATGGGAAATACATTATGGATTCTGAAAACTACAAAAATATCATGAAATGACAATGCACAGTGATTCTCCCACCCGTCACAGGTGTGTTTCCGATTAGCATGTGTTAAATTGTGAGGTCATAAAAATGTGTCACTGGTAATTGTGACGTCATCAAAAGTGAATGACGATATTCATACCCCACATGTGCTTTTGTTAACAAACTTGGTAGATTATTGTTGGTGGAGTTGTGACTGAAATAATAGGATGGGAGAAAAATAATCACCCCCTACCTTGAAGGTGTAACAGAGAAATCTCCAACCCTCGGGGTGATTTTTGTTGTTGTCTAAACATCATCCCTCAGGTAGAAGATTTCTCTGTCACCCCCTCGAGGTAGGGGCAGATTCTGTTAAACATCGCCCCTCAGGTAGAAGATTTCTCTGTCACACTCTCGAGGTAGGGGAAGATTCTGTTAAACATCACCCCTCAGGTAGAAGATTTCTCTGTCACACCCTCGAGGTAGGGGAAGATTCTGTTAAACATCACCCCTCAGGTAGAAGATTTCTCTGTCACACTCTCGAGGTAGGGGAAGATTCTGTTAAACATTGCCCCTCAGGTAGAAGATTTCTCTGTCACACTCTCAAGGTAGGGGAAGATTCTGTTAAACATCGCCCCTCAGGTAGAAGATTTCTCTGTCACACTCTCAATGTAGGGGAAGATTCTGTTAAACATCGCCCCTCAGGTAGAAGATTTCTCCGTCACACCCTCGAGGTAGGGGAAGATTCTGTTAAAAATCGCCCCTCAGGTAGAAGATTTCTCTGTCACACTCTCGAGGTAGGGGAAGATTCTGTTAAACATCACCCCTCAGGTAGAAGATTTCTCTGTCACACTCTCGAGGTAGGGGAAGATTCTGTTAAACATAACCCCTCAGGTAGAAGATTTCTCTGTCACACTCTCGAGGTAGGGGAAGATTCTGTTAAACATCGGCCCTCAGGTAGAAGATTTCTCTGTCACACCCTCGAGGTAGGGGAAGATTCTATTTATCATCTATTTTGTGCAACCTAAGTTCTACAATAATTTGCAAAGCAAATGACCATCACTTTAATTATCTCATAAATATAAACTCAGAAAATGTAAACAAGGACAATAATCAGTAAATTAAGGCTACTTATGTTACAATGAAATCCTTAAAAATAAATAATTAAGTACAAAACATGAAAAAAAAATTACTCAGGAATACTTTTATTCCTTACAGTAATTATTGTCTATTAAGGATAATTAATTTTACCTACATGTGTAGGATAATTATAATTAGGTTATATGTGACCACCTCAAAACAACACAAAAGAAATGCTTTTTAAATGTTGATTTCTGATTGGTCGAAAAATGATGATATACCGGGATAATAATTAATTTATACAATTGTTCTTTTTTTTTAATGAAAGCAAGTAAATAATGAAAGAAGCGTAATTGCAGTCATTTCCATTCAAAATAACAACCTTACATTTCAATCCGGTCGGCTTTCTACTTATTTACCCACACACTGAAAAGATCCATCGCTTCCTTTGAACACCTAGGGTTTGTTATAAAGTACAGTGTGTCTTTGAAAATCCAGATAAAATATAAACAGATTTTATTGTTGGTTTCTTTCATCTGATGATGTATTCTTTGTATCTTTACAATCCTATCATTATCAGCCGATTATCTTTTGTTCAAAAAATTAACTTGATTTGTATTAATTGTTGGTTGTAAATTGTTGACAGCAAAAATACTCCCATAAATATCGGTTCCATATTAATCAACAGAAAAAAAATGAACACAAAAATTATTGAAACGCTTTAAATGAATCATGTTTATGTTTTATAATTATGCACGCTAACTTTCTATGATAACATTCCTACTGAACTGAACACATTTAGACTTTTAATCAGAAGTCACAGTTCTGCTAGCCCAGGGCTACATTCTGGAGTAGATTTTATACCAGGGCAAAAGAAAATTTTCAATATTTACTATGAACTCTGAAAACGGCATACCTAGTATGCCGAAACAGGTAAACTATAAAAACCCTTCCACCCCTATGTAACTTTAGTGGACATTACCATGCATTGATATGGATGAGTCCATTATGGTTTACAGGGATAAATAGTGTTGATTAACCTTCCATCCAATGTTGTCCAGCCATTTCTACCTGAATTTTCATTACTTTACTATCCACGTAAGATCACCTGAACATTTGGAAGATTTGGATACGGACGCTGGATACGGACATTGGATACAGACAGTGGAATTTGTTTGCCGAGTATGAAAATATGGTTCAGGTAAGTAGAATTTTTTCAAAATCAACCAGTATCATGTATGAAATGGTACCTTATGATTAGTTTCTTGTTACAAGTGTTTCTATGTGACATTGTGATGACTAGTACGGTATGTACACTGTCACCTTCATCAGACAAATGATATACCATACTAGTCATCGAAACATCACCTAGAAACACTTATTGGTTGTTTTACAAGAAACTAATCACAATCCATACATACTAACCTGAAGAAAATGTTTAGAAATGAAATGGTGCATCAATCCCTGATTACTAATATAAGCATATTGATTAGAGCAGGTCTAATGTAAGCAACAAACAAGGGTGGGAAATTCTCACTGATCCCACAAAAACCGTTTCTGAAATTGGACAGGATTTTGATGTTGAAAGAATACTCTTATCAGCAATATTTTTGAAATTTGATCTTACAAAAATAAATGATATCACAGAAAATAAATTGTAAATTAAAATTAAGCATAAATTTACTCTTCAATGTTTCAGTCTACCCAGCTGCAAAAATAATGAACCAGCACATGCGGGAAAGGAAACAAGTAAACAACTGGTGTTTCATTTTCAATATCACTCAATCTGAGATTTAAAAGAACAAAAAGATTATCTGTGAATCGAAGATCTAAAAAAAAAAAAAAAATGGCATCTCAATTTCATCTTCAATATCTCTAAATCCAAGATTTTAAAAAAACACTGGTGTTTCATTTTTATATTCAATGTCACCAAGTGTGAGATTTTTTTTTACAAAAATTGGCATCTCATTTTCATCTTTAAATGGCACTGTATCTTAATTTGAATAAAAAACAAACAAAAATTAATTTGATATTAATTACACTCGTTTATCCCCAAAATTTCATAATGAACTATTCCAACCTATGAATTGGTAGAGTTCAAATGTGTCTTCAGGGGTGAATTACTTAAAAACTGGAACAAATACTAGGTAAATAATACTTATAAGACAACAAAAAACTTAGGATATGATATATTAACATTGTGCATATACTGACGAAATTTGGGAACAAAAACGAAAAAACTTCAACATAACAAAATTATAACAGCATCATAACTCAAACAGTTCGTCATTAGCTCGCTCCTGTTTCTCTCGTGAAGTCTGAACTTGTCGGGTTGAGTTTCGCGACTTTATCAAAAGTACCGGTGATGATTCACAATCCACACTATTTGTTTTCCGTTTTTCAACATCAGAGTTATGTCCCCTTGTTTCAAGCTGTCGAACTGTAACGGCTGAACCCGAGTGTCGCCTAGCACCATTTTTAGTTTTCCTCGGAAGAAACGTCAGCGGGTTGTCCGACTCACCTTTGTTTAAAGACCTGTAAAATATAATGACAATCTTCAAAAGAGATTTGAACAAATATATGATTTTATTACGTAATATTTAAGTTTCAATCTGCAGAAGTGAATTTTAGCAAATTTCAAAAACAGTCATGTTTTTCAATTCTGGAATGTTGTTATAATAATGAAATGATTCTATCCTGAATTTCGATTTAAACAATCAAACATTTTTCTTGAATATACTCATATTTAATTTAAATACATATGTACCTGAATTTTTCTGGGCATTAAAAAGATTTCGTAATATTTTTTAAACATCTATCTATATTAACATGCTAGTTGATTCAACTTAATATAGTGCGTTTCACACTGGAATCGGAGCCACAAAACTATAAAAAATATATGTTTGAACAAATATAAATGTAACAAAAACAAACTCATGCCGACAACAATAGTATCATGAACACAGTAAGTACACTATATTTAAGGCTATATTTAACTCATTCACCCCTGAAGACACTTTTGAACTATTCCAATTCAAAGGTTGGAATAGTTCACTGCAAAATTTCAGGGGTGAATGAGTTAAGGAATATCATAAAATCAGATTGTGTGGTCCGCTCATTCAATATATACAGAACCATAAGCAGGGAGAGAGCTGCAGATCAATCCATGATTCAAACATAGGAACCAGAGGACATGAAGCTTCACATTAGACAGAGCCAGGACAAAAACTGAATAGCTATGACACCGAACTGTAGTTTAATATTCTATTTATTGCACGATATAACGACAACGTCCTTTTTTAGGTAAATAGATATTTATTGTATGATCTCCTTTATGATGTCCCATTTAAAATAAAACCAAACATATTTTGTCACGCAAAAAAGTAAACCAAGACACCCTTATTCCGTCTTTGCGTATTACAGAGTTATCTTCTCTTGAGAGCAGGTATTGATTGTTACGTCATTGGTTTGTGTGAGAAAATTACGTCGTTTTCTCAAAAATTGATGACGTTGTTCTCACAAACAAATGACGTAACAATCAATACCTTCTCTCAAGAGAAGATAACTCTGCAATACGCAAAGACGGAATTGCTAAAATAATTTACTTTTCTTTTAACATATTTGAATTTAACTCTGTGACCTGAAAAGTAGGTCAAAGTCATTTATTTAAAAAAAATTGACAGCCCTTACTCTAGTAAGTTACAGAAAAAATATCCTAGTCTAAGCCTTATAATTCTATAGAAGCTGTTACTAGTTTTTGACACATTTGTCTCTGCAACTTTGAAAATGCAAGTGGCCTAACTAGTGGTTCAGGATACTGTAAAATACTCTCTTTTTGTGCACATTTTTTTCTGCATATTTCAAAAAAAAATAAGACTGGCTAAGGATACTGTAAATAAAAAAAAAATTGTGGTCATTATTTTCTGCATATTTTCAAATTAAAGTAGTGGCGAAGGGATATTGTAATAGTCTTTCACTTTTGTGGTATGATGATTTTCCGTGCATTTGCTAAAATTGTTGATGTTCCTTTGTTGCTATATTATGTCGTAACAATAAGACAACACCCTCATTTCTATTACTTCAAATGTAAGACTTGATGTATTTTGACACCCTAAACAACCTCTATATGTGGGGAGAACTAACCCGACTCCTTCACCTACAGGGATTCAACTTGAAAATTTGAAATAAGATTCTCGAGTTTGGTATGAATCTACAACAATTGTCATGTGAGGATTAATAAGCTTCTGTATTTTTTATATTTATTGTAAAAATTTGATGAACCTCAGCTGTTAAATGACTGCGCAGTAATATAAAGATTATCAAAAGAATGAAATTTAATATGAACAGAAAGCATTTTTTTTTTCGAAACTCACTTTAATGGCCACTAACTGTGTGTTCACAACTTAAAATAACAATAAAACACAATCAAACACATTTGCAGACATTACAAGCTTTCTACTCTAATTATAAATGATTATGCAACAAGTCAAGTCTACTGCCATGAAGCCATGTCTGTGTATACACTGTGGCTAGTTTGTGATTGTGTTGACGGCCATGAAGCCGTGCCTATGTATACACTGTGGCTAGTTTGTGATTGTGTTGACTGCCATGAAGCCGTGTCTGTGTATACACTGTGACTAGTTAGTGATTGTGTTGACGGCCATGAAGCCGTGTCTGTGTATACACTGTGGCTAGTTTGTGATTGTGTTGACTGCCATGAAGCAGTGTCTGTGTATACGCTGTGGCTAGTTTGTGATTGTGTTGACTGCCATGAAGCCTGGTCTGTGTATACACTGTGACTAGTTTGTGATTGTGTTGACGGCCATGAAGCCGGGCCTAGGTATACACTGTGGCTAGTTTGTGATTGTGTTGACGGCCATGAAGACTTGCCTGTGTATACACTGTGGCTAGTTTGTGATTGTGTTGATGGCCATGAAGCCGTGCCTATGTATACACTGTGGCTAGTTTGTGATTGTGTTGACGTCCATGAAGCCTTGCCTGTGTATACACTGTGGCTAGTTTGTGATTGTGTTGATGGCCATGATGCCGTGTCTGTGTATACACTGTGGCTAGTTTGTGATTGTGTTGACGGCCATGAAGCCTTGCCTGTGTATACACTGTGGCTAGTTTGTGATTGTGTTGATGGCCATGAAGCCGTGTCTGTGTATACACTGTGGCTAGTTTATGATTCTGAACAAGCACAGATCTATTATGATGTATTAAATAGTAGCTACCAATGCTTGCAAAAACGAAGCCAAAGCGTTTTTATTTTAAAGCCTTTAATTAATTATGCACTGTAAATTAAGTAATTATTAGAACTATATTGTACTGTGAGTTGTTAGATTTTGTTACAGTAAAAAAAACACATTTATTTTAAATGAATATTTACCGTCAGTAGTTTTCATTATTTCAGTATGAGCTATAATTTAAATCACATGTCTTAGTAAATACACAGTGTAATAGGAAAGAGAATAGTGTGTTCCACCGATGATCAAACCTGCGACCCCTAGGTTCCTAGTCGGACGCTCTACCACTGAGGAAAGAGAATAGTGTGTTCCACCGGGGATCAAACCCGCGACCCCTAGGATCCTAGTCGGACGCTATACCACTGAGGAAAGAGAATAGTGTGTTCCACCGGGGATCAAACCCGCGACCCCTAGGTTCCTAGTCGGACGCTCTACCACTGAGCTGAAGGCAAATTCCCCCTAGCTCGAAGCTTAAGAAGGCGACCTTAATCCTATGTACAATTGAACCCTGCCACACTACTTCCCCCTTTATTTAAATGTTACTACAGGGAGTGTCATTGACACCATTTTACAGTAAAGAGAATCGTGTGTTTTCACCAGGGATTGAACCCATGATCCCATACTTCCTAGCCGGACGCTCTACCACTGACCTTAAAGGAAATTCCCTGTAGCTCGAAGCTAGAAGGCCACTCTAATCCTATGTACAATTTAAGTCAGCCACAATAGTATATATTTGAACAAAGATTTGTTTTTTGTGTAGGAAACAAATTAAAACACCATTGATCTTAATATTTTTACTTTCGTTTCCTTGTAAATACGCAATAAAATATGGCTACAGTTTCATCTTATCAAGAGTTATTTTCACAACTTCATCATAGCTATTATATAGATGTTGGGGGGTATTACTTAATCTCGAACATTTTAACTTAAGGTAATAAAAATTATGGCATTGGGGTCTGTAAAACAAAACACTTCAGGAAATTACAATACAAGTATGTTCATTCAGAATAGAGAGGTTTCTAGATTACACAGGTTCTATATATAGTTATGTTTACATTGGGACCTAGTCAGATTACACAGGTTCTATATATAGTAACGTTTACATTAGGACCTAGTCAGATTACACAGGTTCTATATATAGTAACGTTTACATTGGGACCTAGTACTCATATCAATACCCAGCCTCCTCTGCCCACATCATCAGAAGTTATGTTATCACAGCTTATTGGGATTTAGTCAGATTACACAGGTTATATCGTATATAGTAATATTGGGTGTTTAGCTGGTGCAGAGATAGCGCATCTGCCTTTCTCCAAGGCAGCCGGGATTCGATTGCCTGACTGGACATGAAAAGCCACGTGATCTGAGTCATCTGAGATCATATGGTATGTTTGTAGGTATAATAGTATGAGCTCTTACTTCTGATAGCCACAAAGTTCTACCTCTATATTCTACTAGCTACACTATACACGGCTACAATTCAATATCTATAACTCTATTTCTCTCCTTCCAGTGAGTAAATAACAAAACTCCAGTATAAATGGGGTGTAAAACCTTTCTATCTCGCACCCCGTTTCACGACAGCGACATTACAAGGGGAAAACAACAAAGTAAAGAAATCAGGATGCCAGAGTGCGAAAATCACGTCCCCTTAATTTTGTGGTTTCTGAGCTAAATCATGTGATTGGAATGCCTGGGGATGTATAGGATAAGGAAATTGGAAATAACAGGCCATCCACATGATAAAACACTTACTGGTTTCTTTACAATTCTAAAATTTACAATTCCTTAAAAAAAAAAAAAAAAATGTATTATGTACCTGGTATTAAGAAAAGGAAGGACATACAAGAAAAATCAGGAAAATATGGATTATATATCAGGAAGACTTTTTTAACCATTGAAATATGTTGTAAACAATAACAGGAAATATGATCAATACTGAACAAAAAGTGTCAATTAAACCTGCTGTAAATTATTTAGTGGGTATGTACAGTACCTGTATACCTAGTCACCAGGTCACATCAGACCCACAACTACCACCAAAGTAGGGATGAAAGGTATTAACTTTAATGTACCCATACACGTAGCCCTGTTTGTAATAATTACTCACCGATGTATTAATAATTAGTGCTACCGCAATTCTATTCTTATTTAACAGAGGTCATCATTTTTAATGCCTCCGCCAGGAGTCAAACCCGGAACCTCTGGTTTACTAGTCTTACTCTCTACCGAATGAATTAAAGAGAAATTCTCCCTAGCTGAGTCGGTAGGAAGCAGCTAGTATTCTAC